TATTCATATAATATATTCATAATTATTATGACTAAACATTTAAAACACTATTTTATTAAAATGCTCGGAGACAACATGAACCTATACCAATTGTTTAATATTATATTGTAAAGTATGGAACAGAAAATACCAATTAATATTTTTGAAGACCGTTTTAGAAATTCGATAAGTTTTCGAGGGACCATCCAAACTAAACGTATGAATACACACAAGTTAAAAGAAAAAATAAGCAAAAATCGAAAAATTATATTCAAATTGGTGAAAACCTCATATAATTTTAAAAATAATTAAAATATAAACATCTTCGAGACAGTTAAAGTTCATCTACAACTAGTTGACTTCGAGTACGGGCAGTCTCCGCGCCACACTTATACTCGTACACAACCACTCGAGTACTATACGGTTATAATATACGACTCTACCAACTATATTACTACAAATATCTATAATGTTTATATGACATTGTGCTAATACCTATATGTGTCTAATAGGAGAGGGGGGTCTAAGAGAACTATAGGTCCTTGGAATTTTGTTTAGCCTACCATCCCATACATTTTTTTAGTTGCATTTTTAGAAATTCTGTGTACTAGAAACATCATAAGTTATAGCCCCCCTATATAAATTGATCACGCTTCGCTTATGCTAACACAGTAACTCCATTATATACAAACATTGTATGTAGTTTTTTTTCAGCATAATTATACACTTCAATGATAAACTATAATTTACCCACAATACAATTTGAAACGAACTAGCTTATGTACCTATGTGAGTATAGCTTACCTTGAGGAAGTCAAGGCCTCAGGAATCGGTTTTTATAATCATGACGATGTTAATTATCTTTTTTTGGCAATTATGCATCACATACTATTTCACGCATCATTTTCAAAGCTCTTGATATTGGACGTCACTGGTGCATAGTCAGCAGTATGTTTTCTCTTGCCAGAGTCAAGAGAAATACATGATCTGACTCATTCCGGTTTCTATTTTACTCTTCATCAGCAAAAGTGTACAACAATTAATGATAGTATAAGATCTTAACCATTAACGCATCAGCTAGACACACACAATCATGACAAATGGGTTTTTATTTAGGTATTACGATAAAAATTAAATGATGCTTATATATTTTTATAATCTGTTAATAGTTTAACATCAATCGATTCAATTTCAGTAATAATTCCAAAAAATAAATGTAAATTGATTATATTTTGCAAAAACAATTAATATTTTAACCCGATTTATTTAATCCATTTAATCGTCATCACTATTCTAAATAATTTAAAATAATTTAAAGCTACAACAATGAGATAAATATAACTTTGATAGTTTGTGTTTTTTTTTACTTATAAGTTATAACTAGATTTTGAACACAAAACAAAATATTATAAACTCCACTAAGTAATTTTGATAAATTAATATGAACTATACCTGCCATATTCGTAAGACTGTGAAAAATTATGAAATTAATCATAATATTTAGTATTTTCGTTTTTCGTTTTTCGTTTTTCACGGTAGTATTTTTCATGGTAGTTTGATTAAATAAAGTAGGTATCAGTATTATTTGTATGTCTAGTGACTTATGAGAAAACATAATTACCGATACACGAACAAAAGTTTCCTCAGTGCAGTTCACAGTCATTATCATGGCATTTACTGAGTAGCTATCCTTTTAAAAAGAGCGCATATTTGAGTCACAGAAACTTCATATATATAAATATGCGATTGTATAATATTTTCATCATAAAATGAAGTACAGATATAACTTAAAAATCACAATATTTAAAAGCACTGTGGTTACACTTAGCTGTGTTTATGTAAAAGAAAAATACCACAATATACGTATATAAAATGCACGAGTAGGTATTGACCCTTTCAATGCAAAAGTCGAGCAAAAAATGTAGGTAAAAATCGATTTAAAGCTCTAGAAAACTATGCTGCTTATAGATAGACATAATATTCATGTGCATCTACACTATTGTTCTTTCGGTATTCTAGCCTCTTGTGAAGTATAGACACATCAATTGGAAGAACTGGTACGCTCTAGAACACATGCTGAAAAATATTAAGAAAAATGATTTCGAATAAAAAGTATATAAAAAAGTAAAAAGTTGTAAAAGGGATTGAAGTATTATTTAAGTGAAAATGCGTGTAGTGTAATCTTCGACAAAAATGAAAAATATTAAAAATAAAATAATTTTAAAATATATAAATTCAGTATTATACTGCAATGTTGACTACGATTTACTCAATATTGTCTTACCAATGTTTCTGTACATTTATGAAACAATTATTTACAATTAATGAATGATTGAAATAGAGTGAAACAGAAAAAGACAAGGTAGTATAATATTACGGTGTGTTTGTGGCCAATACAAATATTATTTTTAGTACATTGTCATTACTCATTATTTATATTATTATAGTATGAGATTCCATGATTAAAATATCATGTATGGTGTATGGACCGATAAAAAGAAAATTACAACAAATTCTTTTTCTTATGATTTTACATTTTTTAATTCAATTTTGAAAAAGCTATAAGTGTTATATTTGAATTCAATGATAAATCATTGAATACGAAAAACAAGACGTTGTGCCATTCTAACATACTTACATAAAATATAATCAAATTTAATAATTAATATTGAATTCGCTTTTCTATCAGAAAAGATTCCGATGTCGAAAATCGAAGCATTTTAAATATCTCAAATGTTGATAATAGACAGAAAAAAACACACATACAATGCATTCATCGCTATGCTCTAAATCTAACAGTCTTCAAATTCTGATTGATTTTTTTGACATACGTCTAAAATAATATTATACTATGTGCATGATGTACGACAGTTGTGTCAGCAACAATTGCGAAAAGTCGGTATAGAATGAAACATATAATAAATATAATGTGGCCAGCATTAGAGAATAATTTCCATAAGGTGGATTAATTACTGAAATAATTGGAAATTCATAATTCCACGAAAGTACAATTATAAACTGTAGTGACGTATGCAGAAACTACATGACTGTAGAAACTTTGATAATTTATTAAAGTTTTGTTATAACGGGTATAAGATCTCCCCGTTTTAACTTTCCAATAGAAATGGTAATTGATCATTGAATGTTTTGGAATACTTGTTTAATATAATCATAATATGTTCAATCAAAAATTCGATTTCTGCATAACATGTAGCTTCCAAAAAACATTATTTAGTTGTATAGTAAACTTTTCATATCAATGATTACGATATCGTACCCCTTTCATCCCAAATCGTAAATTATTATCAAAACAGTCTGTTTTGATTCTTGTTCCCAACTTCTCATACTCTACTTTTCTCTAATAAACAGTCATTGAAAATAATTGCGCACAACTTTGTACCTGGAAATCTGGTGTAAAGTGAACAATCGATTTTGATTGTTTAGTCAGTTATAGTATAGGTACAGTAAAATATTTAAACAAGATTGTTTGGGATGAAATCGATAATATAACGGTCCAAAGAATCTGAACAATAGGAAGTCGGCTTTATACTTGACGAGAATACTATACTGGTGACCATTTCAATTTGGTTCTCTTCACGCAACACTGAAGATATGATAGTAAAAAGCTTACATTATTATCTGGATTTTGGTTTACCGTAGAATTTGGAAAGAAATATAAACTGACGCGTATACATTAAATGGTGATAGTCATTTTATGTAGGCTTTAAAAAATATATATATACTATACATTTTTTTTTAAAAATTGGTAAATACAGCATTAAGTTGAGCGCAAGAACTTGAAAATACTTCAATTTGTATGTATACACATCAATACTATTTATATATTTATTTAAATAGGTTATAGGCGTTGAGAATTCGACGTTACGGAACATTGGTATACTGTGGTCTTATATAACTATAACTATAGGCAAATAATTAAATAATAATATCAATACATGTGTTTTTCTTTTTAATTAGATACAGGCAATTTTCGAATTTAATTTATATTAGGTCAATCATCATTTGAGGGTTTTTCATCGAGTAAGTGCCGTTCTAATAAGTAGATATTTTGTTATACTTGAGCTCACGAGGGGTGAATCCGTTGTCGATGTTTCACCATTACAAAAATTGTAATCAATGGAGTTGGCATTCAGTAGGATTGATTTTACATCATCCAATTTGTTTTCGATTACATGTAATTTATTAATATATTATTATTATTATTATTAGATAGATTTTAGCCATCGTACTAATTACTGTAGATAGCCAGTTCGTTATAAGACATTGAATTAAAAATTGTCTTCAACTCTTGACAGTCTATATGTAGATGTGTATTCTAGTTCAGATTCTCTACCAATCTGTGTTATTGGTTTGTTTAGGTCTAACTAAATCTATTATTTTTAACGTAATATTATTACGCCTCAGATATTTAAAGTTACAAGTCAATCATCTTTCGAGCTAATGCCTTTCATCCGACTTTCGATTTTCCATTAATTATTTTAATATTTTTTTGTTTCGTCTAATGCATTTTACATGCTTCGAAACGTTATGGTGTATCTATACATTTTTTAGCTCGAAATCGTTGTTTAAGTTTTATATGTTTTATTTTTAGGATTAGAGTATATTTTATTTACCTCGATTAAATATTATCTTATTATATTCATTTTGTAAAAATATTCACTCTAGTATTTAATATTTTTTTTTTTTTAATTTTGAGTATTATTTTTAATATTTTAACGTGTAAATTAACAGTTTCGTAGAAAATTTTTTAAAAAAGTCCGGTAAAAAATTAAATGATTTTAGGTATTACCAACTATAAGTACTACTTACTATACATAGGTGTTAAATTAACATTTCACATATTTTTATTAAGTAAAATAGCGGGAGAAAACCAAAACCCCCTCCAAACACGACAATCATAATAACAATAAACTCGAAGACAGCCTTCAGATTGTTCTCCCTAAAACTTTTTTCCTACTACATTTCTACATAGATAATAAACTATGGTATAAATATTAGAATGTAGTGTAGATTCATGTCAGTACCACGGTGCTTTTTGTACTCCGAGCAAACCGTTTCTAACCATGTTAACCGCCAACTTTTGGATAAATTTAATTACGCCGTTAACGATAATAGTTACGATCGCCTATTATTTCTGTGTGTCGACTTTTAAAAAATGGGAAAAGCTCAACGTACCGTACATAAAACCGTTTCCGTTGTTTGGAAACTTTTTGAATGTAGCTTTAGGAAAAGACCATCCGTTGGAATTTTACAACAAAATCTATAACGAGTTCGAGGGTCACAAATATGGAGGACTGTTTCATATGAGGACACCTATTTTAATGGTTCGTGATCCAGAATTAATCAACGACGTGCTGATAAAAGATTTCTCATCTTTCCCCGATCGAGGTATTTACTCGGATTTCGTGGCAAATCCGTTGTCAAACCACTTGTTCCTTATGCAAAATCCTCAATGGAAAATAATGAGAAGCAAATTGTCCCCTGCTTTCACGTCGGGAAAGCTCAAGCTAATGTACGATCAGATCAAAGAGTGTGGTGAAGAATTGATGAAAAACATCGATATATATTTGAATAAAAACGGCAACGAAATAGAAGTAAGAGACATCATGGGAAAGTATTCGACCGATGTCATAGGTACTTGCGCTTTTGGGCTCAAGTTGAACGCCATAAACGATGACGAATCTCCATTTCGTAAGCATGGAAAATCGATATTCACACCTTCACGAAGAGCGCTTTTCAGGGAATTGTGTGTGATGATTAGTCCTGCACTTTTGAAAGTCGTAGGGTTGAAAGATTCTCCATCTGATGCAGCTGATTTTTTTCACGCAGCGTTTAAAGAAACAATTACGTACAGACTTGAAAATAAAATAGTCAGACATGATATCGTTAATTGTTTAATGCAAGCAAGAAATGATTTAGTTTTGAATAAAGATTTACCTAAACATGGTAAGATATTAAAAAATATTACAATTAAAAAACTGATTGTTGTGTAAAACTCGAAAATTTTGTTCTAGAAAAATTTACAGAATCACAAATCGTAGCAAACGCATTTGTAATGTTTGCCGCCGGTTTTGAAACTGTATCCACTACTGTAAGTTATTGTTTATATGAATTAGCATTAAATAAACCCATTCAAGACAGAGTACGCCAAGAGATTCAATTTAAATTGTCCAAAAATGAAGGACAAATTAACCATGGATTTTTGATGGATCTTAATTACCTTGATATGGTTATAGCAGGTTATTTTTTTTTTTTTCATACAATCTAAATAATATCAATAATATTAAATGATTTTAAAATTGTTTGATAAGATGAATGTTTTTTATTCGATTGTAACTTTTTTTATAGCTACTATTTTATAACTAAAGATAATATAATGTTAATGATCTAAATAATATTTAAAAAAATTTCTAAAAATTCCAAAAAAATAACTTAAAAATGGCCAGAAAAAACTACTTAAATAAAATTAAAAAATATAATTAAAAAATAATAATTCTTATTAGAATTATGGGTATGGTGATGGATGTCAAAGTAATTTAAAATATGATTTGTAAAATGAATAGACAATAATATGAACATTTAAATTTTACAGAAAAAATAAATTAAATTATAAAAATAAATATAAATTAAAATAGAAATATAAATATATATAAATATCACAATAACACTCAAATCTAAGGCCCTACATAGTACAAAAATTATAAAACATATCTCTCAGTATGAAAAATGTTGTAAAATTAAAAAAAAAAAAATGCGAATTTGAATTAGTACATACTGAATCAAAGGAGCATGAAACTAGTTTTAGCCAAAATAGAATTTTAAATGATTAAAAAAAAAAAATTTCAAAAATCATTTACTTCCTATTTCTAGCTATACGATAACTATTTACTGTTTATTGACAGTTAGTAGATTGTTCAGAATCATTATTTGTCTCTTAAGTTCTTCCTCATTAATATTATTATTTTGATATTGTGTTACAAATACTCACGCTAATTGGTACTATTTGGAAAATAATCGAATTTATTAAATTCAATTTTGATTTATTCATATATTTATGAAAATTAATATTGCAATATTTTTATTTTTCCATTTGGGTTAAAAACTTTTTTCTTAAAGTAATGTAAGACTATTTCACTTTAAATTTGAAAATTAATAAAAATAAATTCTAATAATTAAATCAAAATAATAAAATTATTATATTTTGTAGAAACACTTCGTATGTACCCTCCACTGATTATTTTGTTCAGAAAAGCATCACAAACATATCGATTACCCGACGATTCATTAATAATTGAAAAAGACCAAAAAATAGTAATTCCAGTGTATGCAATGCATCACGATAGTAAATATTACACGGAGCCTGAAAAGTTTATTCCAGAAAGATTTTCATCTGAAGAAAAAGCCAAACGGCCAAATGGTATTTATCATCCGTTTGGCGATGGACCTCGCATTTGTATAGGTATATTTTCAAACAGATAATTCAAATACAATCAATTTTTATAATTTTTAAATTTCTAGGAAAACGTTTCGCAGAGATGGAAATGAAATTGGCTTTAGTTGAAATGTTAACCAAATTTGAAGTAATTCCATGCGAAAAAACAGAAATACCTCTAAAATATTGTAATAAAGTTTTCACATTGATGCCAAAACATGGAATTTGGTTGACTTTTAAAAGAATTAATTGATCAAAGGTTATAGTATAATTATGAAATAAAAAATACTTGTTTTAATTAAATCATAACTGGAGAATGTTTAATGGTTATTTAATATATTTTTTGTTTTTTGATATTTTTATCATCACTATATTAAATAAAAATTTAAAATATAATATTTATACTTGTTCAAATAGATATAGAGCAGGGGTTTGAGAAGACAATAGCCCTCCATTCCCCGACTTTTATTAGCGTGTGACACTATTTTTATGACATCTATAAAGAGTAAAACTATGTATACGATTACTCAAAATTATAAATTAATAGTGACATAGTGTCATATTGGTTCAAAATCTACGATTGGGAGATATTTTTTGGTTGAAGTGGAAAATTGTTTTTTTTTTTTTTAATGATTTCTTTTTTGTCTAAATACTAAATTCGATACCAAAAATTGCTATAATTACCTTCTGGCTTGTACCGTTATAAAAATATGCCATAGAAACAACTAACCATACCTTTACAATATAAAATATTAAATATTTAACTCTACAAAACAGCATTGCCTCGTCGATTCATTATAAACATAATCTATAATATATATTATAATATAGACGCAGCTTTTTTGTAAAAAAAACATCTTGAAAAGTAGGTACTCAACTGATTTTAGTACGATTTTCACTAATGAATTGACCGAGTCTCTGGAAATGTTTTAATATATAAATCTTAGACAAATGCCAAAAGTAATAAAAATGTAAAAATAATCTATATCTATATAAATATAAATGAAAATGAAATGTTATTTGTTTGCAATCGCAACACTTGAGAAGTTGAAAACGGCTGAAACAATTTGACAATTTTTTTTTTTTAATGTTTTTAATAGTCCAAAAAAGGTTGTCATTGAAAGAAAAATTGGGAAAAGTTGCACGGAAAATTAGGAATTTCGATAAAACTAAAAATAATGAGAAAATAATGAAAATGATAGAAACTGACTCTTGGTAAACATTTAATAACTAAGATTATATTTGGTCTGAACTTCACATTTTTTCAACACAATATTTAATTTTGGCACGGGCAATGCCGAACAACTAGTAATACAATATTGGTTGTATTATAATACCCCTAACTCTTCCATAAAAGTTTGTCAAATATAATGTATAACTATATTTAGTTAATTGTAACTCATAAGACAGATATTTTTAATTTTGTGTCAATAATAAATATTATATAGAAGTACAGAAACATGAAAAATTAATCATAAGCAGTCACTGTGTCTCCAAATGTCGCTCACGGGCGACAGAATCTTTAATATGTTACTTCACATTAGTTTAGCCTGTAAATAAACAATTTTATTGAAAAAGCTAAATAACAATTGCTTTAAAAAAGAAATTAAATAATAAATAATTATAGATATTATTAAACTATAGGTACCAACTATACATATATTTAAAAATTACTTTTCACATACATATAATATCTATGGACTGGGCTACGACGGTAATTTGGTATACACAATAACATATTAAAAGCGTAGGAGAAACCGGAAACTCCCTCCAAAAACGACAATAACAATATAGGTACTCAAAATAGACTTCGGTATGTTCTCTCTGATACTTCAAATCGTACTACATTATAGTAATCATTTTAGGAATATAATACACTCTTGATTCATCGCTGAACCGTAGTCGTAGTTTGCTCAAACCATCTCGAACCATGTTCACCACCAATATATGGATAAATATCATTACGCCGTGTACGATAATAGTTACAATTGCATATTATTTCTGTCGACATTTAAGAAATGGGAAAAGCTCAACGTACCGTACATTAAACCAATTTCGTTGTTTGGAAACTTTTTGAATGTAGCTTTAGGAAAGGAACATCCGTTGGAATTTTACATTAAAATCTATAACGAGTTCGATGATCACAAATATGGAGGACTTTTTCAAATGAGGACGCCTTATTTATTGGTCCGCGATCCCGAATTAATCAACGACGTGATGATAAGAGACTTCTCGTCGTTCACCGACCGCGAAATTTACACCAATTTCGAGACCAATCCGTTGTCAAACAACCTGTTCTTCGTGGAAAATCCTCAATGGAAAACAATAAGAAACAAATTGACCATTGCTTTCACGTCTGGAAAACTCAAGGTAATGTACGATCAGATCAAAGAGTGCAGCGATGCGTTAATGAAAAACATCGATAAAGATTTGAATAAAAACAACAACGAAATATAGGTAAGGGATATCATTGGAAAGTATTCGACTGACGTCATTGGCACCTGCGCTTTTGGGCTCAAGCTGAACGCCATAAACGATGATGAATCCCCGTTTCGTAAGTACGGTAAATTGTTATTCAAGCCTTCACTGAGAATACTTTGCAGAGAATTGTGTGTGTTGATTAATCCAGCACTTTTGAAATTCGCAAAAGTGAAAGATTTTCCAAAGAACGCGACTGATTTTTTTCCCGCAGCGTTTAAAGAGACGATCACTTATAGACTTGAAAATAATATAGTCAGAAATGACTTAGGTAGTTAATTGTTTAATGCAAGCCAGAAATGATTTAGTTTTAAATACAGATTTGCCTAAACATGGTAAGATATAAGTATTTTCATTAAAAATATTTTTTAAAAAACGATAATTGTAAAACATTTTATAAAATTGTAGAAAAATTTACCGAATCACAAATCGTAGCAAATGCTTTTATAATGTTTGCTGCTGGTTTTGAAACAACACCAACTACTTTAAGTTATTGCTTGTATGAATTAGCATTAAATAAATCTATTCAAGACAAAGTACGCCAAGTGATTCATCTAAAACTGTCCAAAAATGACGGACAAATTAACCATGAATTATTGATGGATCTTAATTACTTGGATATGGTTATAGCGGGTAATATTTTTATTATGATACTATTCTATAACATTAAATTATTTTAAATTTTTAAAATTATTAATAAGGTAGAATGTATTTTATTTAATTGTAAATTTACTTAACTGTTTATTGACATCATTACTTCCCACGTCACTCATCAGTTCTTTCTAATTAATCTTATTATTCTGATATTTTATTAAAAGTTATGTTACTTTTTTTTGAAATTATCAAATCTATCAAATTTAATTTTGGTACATTTAATTTTTTTTTAAACTTGAAAAATAAAATTGCAATTTTTCGATCAATTATCCAATCGGGGTTATAATATTTTGAAAAATAATTTAAAACAATTTATTCGAGTGAAAACTTCTCTTGAGAGGGTCTGCTCTCCGCTTGAATCATTGGAGTAAACGTGTGAAAAAGTGACACCGTTAAACGTTACGCTTTCAATTCAACATATCTGTACACATACATTCATATATAGGTATACATATATATATTATATATTATATATATATGAGTGTGTGGGTACGAGTTTGTCAATGGATAGTTATATAGTAGTTCATATAACACGATATAACAGGGATGGCAAACCTTTTGACACCTGCGTGCCCAAAATTAGCTTTTTTTTTAGAGCGTGCCGTGAAAAAAATTATATTTTGTTATATTACCTATAATTCGATTATATAATTAATGTATAAAAAGGTTAGCTTAGGTACATAAAAATGACCGATAAAAGCCGTATGCTCAAAATATTTTTACCTATTACCTATATTCTATAATCTATAATATTATATATTATGTAATATATAATAGTAAACATTTTCGCGTGCCCACAAAATCTTTTCACGTGCCATCTCGGGCACGCGTGCCATGGATTTACCATCCCTGCTATATAAGATAGTATGGTTGCCCAATGCCCATCGACTACTGTAAAATGTCTTATACGGCGGGCATCGATATGAATTTAGTAACAGCCGCGTCACTATGTTGCTCAAATAAAGTGATGCCATAATAAAAATTAATATTAAATAATAATCAAAATTTATAAGTAGAAGTTTTCACTTCTGTCTACAGTCCCAAGACAGTAATTTATACTTTTTATGTATGCATTTTATAATAAATAAAAATATATCAAACGATTAAATTAAAATAAAATAACCATTATATTTTTTAGAAACACTTCGTATGTACCCTCCATTAGTTTTTTTGTTAAGAGAAGCCACAAAAACATATAGATTTAATAACGATTCATTAATAATTGAAAAAGGCCAAAAAATAGTAATTCCGTCGTATGCAATACATCACGATAGTAAATATTACACGGAGCCTGAAAAGTTTATTCCAGAAAGATTTTCATCTGAAGAAAAAGCTAAACGGCCAAGTGGTATTTATTACCCATTTGGTGATGGACCTCGAATTTGTTTAGGTAAATTTTTAAACGGATTATTTAAATACAATAATTTTATATAATTTTTAAATTTCTAGGAAAACGATTTGCGGAGATTAAAATGAAATTGGCTTTAGTCGAAATGTTAACCAAATTTGAAGTAATTCCATGCAAAAAAACAGAAATACCTCTAAAATATTATAAAAGGGCTTTCACGTTGATGCCAAAACACGGAATTTGGTTAACATTTAAAAAAATTAATTGAAAAAGTATTATAATTATCATATAATATTGAATAAAAAAAAATGTATTTTAATTTAAAAATAAACTAGAGAATGTTGAATGTTGAATGGTAATAGAAATTTTATTTTATTTTTTGTTTCTAGATATTTCTAATATATTTCTCCACTGTTTAAATGCAATTAAAAGAGTGTCAAATAAAAATATAAAATAAAATGAATTATTTTTATAATAGTGTAGGAAAGATAACAAAATAAAATATTGCTGTTTCCCAATCATACGTATATCCAATTTTGAACTTGAAATATGTGTAAAAAAATTATACATCCGAATTTTTTTAAATTTTAAGTATGTGCGAAAAATAAAATAAGGAATCTTCTGTTTAATTATCATGCCTCAGCAAATTATATTAATATTTAGGTGATATTAATCATTTTATATATTTTTAACTACAAAACCATTCTTGTGATTTTGACAGCTTTTACAAAACAACAAGTATTAAAAGTTACAAGTGACCAAGTTATAAAATATTAATATTTAAAAAATATAAAGATATCTATTTTGCATAATCAAACATCCAAAATCTATATTTTTTATTTTT